TCAATGTATCAGAAGAAGTGTGCATGCACACAAAAGTTTATACCTTGAATAAAACTTTGTTGGTCTTAAAGATGCCACTGGACTCAAATTTTGTTCTGTAACAAAAGTAACAAAGTTTTTCAATAACTTGCAAATGGTTCTAGGGATTGTGGAAGAAAGATGCACTGATGGATGTGTGAATGCTAGAATTGGTGACCTGCACAGTTGGTTTTTCCCTTTAAAGCTAAACTGAAATCCTCTGTTGCTCATTTTTTGTTTTTGTCATTGTTGTTGTTCAGTCACACAATCCAGTCCGACTCTTTGTGACCCCATGGACCATATCATGCCAGGCCCTCCAGTCTTTGGTCGTCTTGTAGAGTGAAAAATGTATATTTGTCTAGGGAGTAATGGAGCTACTACCAGGCAACATTCACCATTCCTGTAATATCATGTCTTGTCTCCACCCATAGTTGAGCTCAGTCTTGAAAGTTGTACTTCAGGATGTCTGCCAGAGTATGAGCATGAGTGGCTGTGGATCACCCTAAGGATATTCTTAGAGAAATCCAAATAGTGGTAATAATGACTTCCAAATGCAGTAGTAAAAATGTATTTGGGAACAAAGTCAATTCCTAGTTCTCCAGCAATATTCCAAATTTGCAACGGTAAATGGCTGAATACAAACAAAACGAGAGTTGGATAATCTTTAACCAGAGGCTTGTTGGATTTTCTTCTTGTGGATTTCGAAAGATTTCTTCCCTCTACCACCTTCCCTTTTATATTTGGCAGTTGGTCCCTCACATGCAAGAAGAGCTTTTGCTTTATTCTTTCTGAAGTAGATTTGATTATAAATCCTGTGAGGAATATTATGTAACAGAACAATTTCCTTTTTATAACTGAATTTAAAAAGGAGCAAGGGGAGAGAGAGAGTGAGAGAAGCCGTGTAGCAGCCTCGTGACTGAAGGGGATCATGGGATGTTGAAGGGCTGAGAGTGCAGAGTGGAGCCATGTACATTCTTCAGTCGAAAACAAAGAGATCTCCCTAAATTAAGTAGTAGGATGTTGAGGCACTGTGACAGTTTTCCTTGTACGGTGTTCAAGAAATACTAATGGGCTGAGTTGTGGAGACGTCACATGGTACTCAGGAGGGAATGGCAGGAAATGGGCATCACAATGGAAGCATCACATGGTCTGTGGTACAGATGATCTCTCCTCCCTTGTTCAGCTTACTGTGGGGCCTGAAAAGGAATTCCTGGGGCAGGCCCTGACTGCTGAAATGTGACAGTGAAGAAAGTATTGCTGTGTGTGTAATGTGCTGTCAAGTTACAGCAGCCTTATGGTGACCCCCACAGGGTTTGCAAGGCAAGAAATGTTCAGAGGTGGTTTGCGATTGCTTTCCTCTGCATAGTGACCCTGAAATTCCTGGGTGGTCTCCCATCCAAATACTAACCAGGGCCAACCCTGCTTAGCTTCCGAGATCTGATGAGATTGGACTAGCCTGGGCCACCTAGGTATCTCCTTAAAATTTATACATTTGATTTATTTATTTACTTATTTATTTGCTTCTTACCCCACCCTCCCTGTCAAAGCAGACTCAGGGCAGCTTACAAAGGATAAAACATAAAAACAATTATAACATAGGTTAAAACCATATAAAACCATATGAACAATCTGATGTCACAAAGTGCTAGCTAGTTGTAGGCCCCAGTTTAGGGCCGGAAGAGGGACAGATTGGGGGCGCAGCAAACAGGCGTGATCGCACCGCAACATTTGGGAAGCGGCGCGCACCCGTCCCCGATCCGGCCCTTCAGGCCGAAAATGTGCATAAAAAAAGAACCTGCAAAAGAGCAGGACTTACCTGAAACGCCGCAGCAAGCGTGGCCGTGAGATCGCCGGCGCACCCGTCTGCAGGAGCAATTGAGGCTCCCGACTGAACTGCGCATACACACACATGCGCAGCCGGCTGCCTCACTCTCCCTTCAGTGGCTCCCCCCCCCCCGGCATCTGATCGTGCTGGGGAGGAACTGCGCGGCGGCTCGGGATCTATCTGATCCCGCCGCCGTGTGTCTCTTTTGGTGCAGCTCTAAAAAGCCACACTTTGGCCATGCTCCCCCCCCCCCCGGTGTGGCAGGGGCCGTAGTTAATACTTAGAGTTGTATTAGTGTGGTCTCTGGTCTGCCTTGCTCATCAGTGTCTTATTCTTATCATATATATGTGGCAGGCACAGGCTGTAACAATGGAATCAGGGGTCTGACCAACATTTCCAGAAGCCGGGGCTTGCAGCTTGCCCTGCGCAATGCATAACTTTGCCCATTTCTTCTCTTCCCCCAACCCATTATCATTTCGGCAGTCTGTTTCTGCTCTCTTTTCATGGAAACAAAACAGATTTTGAAAAAAACAAGTAAACTGATTTAAATGGGGAGTGCTTTAAAAATAATTCAGCCCCTCTTCTCTAAAGTGGTGAGAACTTCAGGGGCTTAGTGCTTACCAGGGTTGGTCTGCTTTGGAAGAGAGAACACTGGGAAGGGTCCATGCTGTTTTACAACTTTTTTTGCTTTATTTATACATATATGGGTAGAGTCCAGGTGGAGGCACAGAGGTATCCCTGCACACTAGCAGATGCAGAGGTTCACATCAGATCCTCAGAGAGAGAGATCCTTTACCCTCTTCAGCCAAATCACAGCAGTGGCTTTCTGCTTTCCCCCCTCTGTCTCCTCCAATATCCCAAGTCCTTGCTTTCTTCACCACTCCCCCCCATTTACCACATTTCCTCCCCTTCTCCATTTTATCCCCACAACAGCCCTGTGAGGTAGCTTAGGCTAATTGTGCGTGAGTGGCTCTAGGTCACCCAGCAAGCTTCCATTGAAGAGTGGGGCTTTGGTCTTGCAGATCCTAGTCTGACACTTGAATCACTGTTCTTCTGGAGACACACACCTGCCTGCTCCCTTCAGCCATAAGAGGCTGCTTCAGCCATAAGAGGCTGCTTTAACACCCATAGAGAGGCATATCTAAAACTGTTAAGCAGTGTGAGGAAACATTACCAATCCTTTTGTCATGAAGGGTAGACTGTGCTTGTGATGAGAAGCCACACTCATTACATATACAAAAGCAGGGAACATGGACACTTTGCAAACTCTTTTTGGTTTAGGACATAGCCATGGTGTTGCTTTGTACCTCCAGTCGTGATTGTATTTTGCTAGTGTTAAAACAGTTCTGTCTTCTCGTTTTTCTAATTTGTGATGGATGTGGCTAATTATGACACATAAAGCCCTAGAGACCAGTGTATCTGAAGGTTCCCCTTCTCTTCCACTGAGTTCCTGTTTTCCATGCTCCTACCTTCAGTAGTTAGGTTGGTGGGTACCAGAGAAAGGGGTCTTTTCTGTTGTGGCTCCCCCAACTGTTGAGAGCCATGGACTAATGCATCTGCCTGTCATCTACTTAGATAGATACCAGAAGGAAACTGTTACTTACTCAGATCTTTGGTAAATTGTAACGTGTTTGTTTTTATATGTTTTAGTGCATTGAATTTTAATTTGTTTTAATCTGATTGAATTCTAAAATTTAGAATGTTTTTATTAAAGTATACATGACCTGGAAATTCTATTTGGACTGGATAAAACAAAATTAAACAAAAATAAAGAGGAAATAAGAAACATATGCCGTTTGTTCATACTTAAGTTTGATTATTATTAAATATACTGAATACATATATGAATCTGATCTTTATAGATGATTTTAAAAAGGATGCTAGATACTGAAACAGAACGTACACTGTGGAGATGGAATATTCAGGAGCCTGAGAGCTGTTTTATTCTTTAAGAAATTAAAGAATAAAATTTAAGAAATTATACATGACCTGGAAATTCTGTTTGGACTGGATAAAACAAAATTAAACAAAAATAAAGAGGAAATAAGAAACATATGCCGTTTGCTCATACTTAAGTTTGATTATTATTAAATATACTGAATACGTATATAAATCTGATCTTTATAGATGATTTTAAAAAGGATGCTAGATACTGAAACAGAACGTACACTGTGGAGATGGAATATTCAGGAGCCTGAGAGCTGTTTTATTCTTTAAAAAATAGTTATGTTTACCATGACTATGACAGTGTATATTAGCGTTTAATGTATTAAACATATAAAGCAGGAAGGGCAAGTGTATAGCCCTAAATATATAGGAGCTGTAGCCAACCAGGGACCACGTGTCATCCCTCTCTTTCCATAAAACAGCAGTTTAAATACTCTTGTGCAGTATTCTCATAGTACTACTAAGAGTTTAGATATAGTTATGGTATGGAAGGGACATGGAGCAGCGGCTGATAGTCTCTGAACCTTTCTGGACAAATCTTGGTTTGAGGATTCAACTCCTTCTGAAACTGACTAGTCAGCCTGCTGTTTGATCATATGCATATCTCTGGATCATGAAAGATAATTGACAATGTGTGGTACAGGATAGAAAGATGTAGCAATCAAACAGAATAATTGGAAAGGTAACAAAATAGGGATAGCTGGATTGCTGATGAATGAAGAGTGAAACATAAGACATCACTAGAATGAGTGGAATGTGGGATACTAGTAGTTGGATAGACAAAAGGAAGCAGGAGGTGGAGGAAAAAAATGAGTTAGCAGATGGGGGAAATATATTGCAATGAGATGTCAGGTGGAGGATTGAGTGGGTGAGCGAATCATAGTGGTAAATGACTACTAGATTTTTGTAGTTTTAAAATAAACACTTGCTTTTTCAATGGATAATCTATCAACTGGAATAGGCAGCATACTGAGGTCCACTCAGATCTAGGTGCTAGGTTACCTGCTGTACAGGCCAACCACAGTGAAACATGTTTAAGTCCCATTTATTTTAATGAGAGAATTAAGCATGCATTTGTGTGCTTAACTTTCTCCTTCCAAAATCATTAGAATTTTGCAGTGCTTGGCTTTGGTTGGATTATGCCCTGGGAGTAGATTCTATTTGCAGAGAGAGTTGTTTTTTAACCCTTTTCTTGCCTCTTTGTACCTAGCTTTTCTCCATTGTTGTGTTTGGCTCCATTGTGAACGAAGGCTACCTTAACCATCAAGATGAATCAGAGGAGTTTTGCATCTTCAATCGCAACCAGGATGCCTGCGGTTACGGTATCACCGTGGGAGTCCTTGCCTTCCTCAGCTGCCTTCTTTACCTGGCACTAGATGTCTACTTTCCACAGATCAGCAGTGTCAAAGATCGCAAGAAAGTTGTACTCTCCGATATTGGTGTGTCTGGTGAGTTTCTCCATAGATTGGCACTACTCGAGATTCTGTAGGGATATTAAGAAAATCCTGTAGCATCCAAGACCAACCAATCTTTAACTTCCAGAGCATGAGCTTTCCTCTGGAGGCTGCTATTTACCAGCAAGCCGAGGAAATCGGTGGAATATTTGCATGAAGAGAAGGGGAACCTTTTGTTGATTCCTGGGTTCTCTCTCTCTCCTTTTTCAACACCTTTTCCTATGCCAACCCCCCCTCCCTTCATGCTTTCTCACTATCCTCATTTTTTTCTCTTTGGCAGTCCCAGGGCAAGTTTGCACACACAGTTAAAAGCAAAATCTCTTGCACATGCTAATTTATACCCAAATGTTTATCCATTTTCTCTGAGCACCGATGTGTACATGAGCTCCCAGATTAAATGGGAAGTTATCACAAGACTCCTCCTGTGATGTAGACCTGCAGAACAAACCACCACAGATTCTTAACACCAGGCAGTTCTAACAGAAAATGCTTGTCGGGTAAGGTTTAACTCAGCCTGTCTACAATCGAATAGCTCAGTCATTTGTAACCATCTTCAGGCAGGTCCAAGCCTGCAAGGAAACTCTTAAGTGTAGCGGAGGACTCAGTGGCATATTCTGAGGCAACGGTTTCCAGCCTTTTTGAGCCTCTGAGCACCTTTGGAATTCTGAGAGGGGGTGGTGAGTGCCACCCCAAAAGTGGCTACCAACAGTGGCAGAGCCAAACACCAATGCCTCTCTCTCTGCTTCACATAAGAAAAGCAGAAGGGGAGTAAAAAGAAATGAAAGAAAGCCTGGTGGGATAGGAAGGAAGAAAGGGAAGGGGGAATTTTAAAAAAGGAGGAAAGTCTGAAGGGGGAATGAAACCACAAGTCTGGACACTACTGGTCTTCCTGATCTTCGATTGATGCTGATGCTCTTGCATCTTTGGAAAACCCTTTCATTTGAAGGAGGGCAGCCACTAACAAGCCCTGCCCTACAAAGGCCCTGACCACTTTCTGAAAAGCTCGGTGGGTGCCAGAGGAAGTACTGGCAAGTACCATGATGCCCTTGGGTACCATATTAGGGAAACCTGTTTTGGGGTGTCTTTTTGGTTCATCCACGTTGCTGGTGAGGCTTGTGCACAGATAAACCGACAGCAAGACACTAGAACATACCTAAGGCTTCACTGTGGCTGTGGATTGCTGGGTAATATAAAATGAAACAGACATGCAAAGGAACTGTGAAGGCTAACAGAATCTGTTACACCATGAGCTTTTCTGAGTCAGTTCATTTCATCGTCATATGCATGAAAGGCATCCATAGCAGTTAAAGTTACAAGCAACAGAAGGGTGGGAGCTGGAGGAGATGTCACAAAGAGAAGCCAGTTTGAAACACACAAAGAAAAGTCTGTCAATTCAGAGTTGAGGAGGAGGTCTCCTAACTGTTAAAGATGAGGGCAAAGTAGGATTAACATAACACTGGTAAGTGATAAGGAAGAGAAGTAGTGGTAGTACTCTTACTTCTAATACAAATAATTGGTGTTTACACAGAGCTTTCAGCATTCAAATGCTGGTATTATTATCCCCATATTGCAGATGGGAGCTGAGAAAGAGTGGCTTCCCTAAGGCCAGTTAGAGAATTTCCAGCAGAGGCAAGATTTGAACCAGGGACTTCAGGGATATCACAAGTCATTTTCTTAGCCACAGTAATGGTAGGCAAGTTATGTTGTATGGGCAACAGCTCTGCCACTGCCAACCTTCTCACTGAGGAACCCTTAATGACCTTCCAGGAAGCCACAGGGGTCCATGGGACACAGTGCAAAAAGAGCACTGCAACATCTTCTCTGGCTCATAATCTTTATGTCTCCCTCCCCAGTTATCGGTCATCAACATGAAACACTCTTTTTTATTTTGTGTGTATGTGCGCCCGTGTGCATGTGTGTGTGTGTGATTTTGTGTGCTTGCCTGGAAGTCATGGTGACTTCTGGTGACCCCTGCTGGAAGCTGGGATGTTCTTCAGAGAGGTGGCCTGATTCGCCTGCCTCTGTGTTCTGCCTCTGGTATTCCTTGGAGGTTGCCCTTCCAAGTACTTGCCAGAGTCGGCCCTGTTTAGCTTCTGAGATCTGAGGAGATCAGGCTTGGCTGGACTATCCAGGCCAGGGCAACATGAAGCACTCTTAATGCATAGGACCAAATAGTTCAGATAGTCTCCTCTGAAGATCTCAAGAGGAAAAATAGCTTATATCCAACTGTGCAGTTCTAGTGACCCAAAGACTTTTAAAGTTTTGGGAGCCCCACCACCTGCAGCCCATTAAGCACCCCCCTCTTTTGTTCCTGTGGGAGAACTAGTGGACTCAGAGGAACCTGCTGTGGCCTGCTGTGGGAGAGGAAAAATGGCCAAAATCACCATCCCCACTTAAGAATAATGAAATGCCCTCAGGTCTTTGTAACTGCATGGCTGAATACAGGCCAAAGCATTTAAACATCAACTAATATTTTTTATATAGAAGGAAAGGAGCAATGTAGTCAATGACATAGACAATAAAGCATTAAAAGGAAGTTCTCTATTTAACTCTCATGTGCTCTGTAGAGACTATAACTCAAATCTACCTTGGGCCCTGACATGCTTAAGAGAAAGGCAGGTATATATAGACCATAAAATTTTTAAAAGAGTGTGTTTGTTTTTAAGTTGCAAAATCAGGTAAAGAATCTAGTTTCCTCTGAAAGCGAAATCCCCTCTCAAAGCTTAGTGAATTCAAACCTGCGCTCACATGCAGCTACTGATGCCAGAATACACACCATGCAAAGCATACTGTGAAATGCTTACTCTGCTTGTCCATTTGTTGTCTCCTTTAAAAATGTACATTCTTTTTGCTCCTACTAGACCCATATTCAAGCACGCCGGTCATGTAGTGAAGGGGTTTTCTTCAAACTCCAAATCAGTATTGATTAATAGTGGCTCAGACACTTCATCCCATTCCTTACAAAACATAAGGTCTGTTCAGACATGACAATTTTAATTAGAACAGCAGACATTCTGGAGTAGGCTTGCAAATAGCCAGTTATTGCTGATGAGGGAGTATTGCCTCCAGGCAGCCAGTTAGAAGAGACTGGGTTTGTTTTCCCTTCCCTTTAGAGGTCCTTCATGTGCAGCAAATGACACATGTCGGGTATGTGTCAGGCTCATAAACAGGCTCATAATATTTTATTTGGAAGTAACTGGAGCTGTAGTGCTTAGTTGGTTTAGCTCAGACGTGCTGGGGGACCTGCAAGGACTTGTAGGAGGGAAAGCTCATTCTTCATGCTATCTTTACTTTCCCTCCCACCTGTCCTCTTTCTCCATCCCCCCCCCGCCCCACACGTGAAGCAGCAGAACAAAATTTGAGTCCAGTGGCACCTTTCAGACCAACAAAGTTTTATTCAAAGTGTAAGTTTTCATGTGCAAAGCATATTTCTTCAGACAGATTGGAACAATTGGGCCCTCCTAATGGCTGTCCCCCACCCTCTTTTTTCTTGTAAGGAGCCCTTAAAGAGATTTTATTCCCGTTTGTCTGAAGTAGTGTGTATTACACACGAAAGCTTACACTTTGAATAAAACTTTGTTAGTCTTAAAGGTGCCACTGGACTCAAACTTTGTTCTTTTATTTCCTGGTGTTTCTCCTTTTGATGTCTGCACATGTGGCTTTTAAAAACTCTTTTAGACCCCCCCCCCCAATCAGGTTTGGGTTTTTCTGCAAATCTGAAGTTTCCTGCAGGTTTGTAGAACATCTTCCCTATCCCTACGTGGTCCCATTTTACAGAAATCTGGATCTACATTCTGAGGCCAGATTTAGAATTAGATAGATGATTTATCAGTGAATGTTTTTTGACTGTCTAAAAATTGCCCCTAATATATCGAGCAGCTTAAAAATTATTTTAATACAGTTACAGTACTATGAATGGCAAGTGTCATTTTGGAAGTGCATTTCCTTCTGTGTGTGAGAGAATGAGAAATGCCTGTTATGTAGCATGTGTATGAGTGGGAAAGGCTAAGGCACATTATTCATTAATACTTCGGGGGTGGTGTGGGGGGGAGATAGCTCTACTAAGGATCCAGGAACAGCTTTGGCAGTTCCTCTGTCTCTCTAAGAGATGAATAACAGCTTGTATTAAACCTTCTCAAGTGACATTTTTAGATCCAAGAGTGATTTGTAGGGGATATTTGGTCTGCAGGGTAGCAAAGTTCCTTTGGAGAAGTAAATCATCCTGCTTGTTCGTTACTACCATGACTGTCAGGTTGATCATATTTTCTTTCATTAGTACAGCAAACCATTTCACTTTATCACCCTTAAAGTAAACCATCCATTCATGTTTAATACGTACATGTCACTCTGTGAGCTTGATTCTAAAGGCACTCAAGTGTAAATTCCAGGCATTACTCTGGTCTCCTGTAGTTGGTGATGTTGGTGAGGAGCGGGATAGTGTGAGGGGGCTGTTAGCTCCGTGGTCGTTTGCTTTGCATTGCTTGGTTTTGTAATTAAACTTACAAACTGTTTGGGGAGAAATTCCATCCCATTTGACAAATTCTGTAGTACATAAGGGAACAGCCATTAATGTTATATGAGTAAGAAGTCTTGTAATGCAGCGATGGGTGATAATCTGTAGAATGTGCAGCCTTCAAATAGCTCTGAGACTCCTAGGCACAATATTTATTTATACCCCACTTTTCTCCCGAATGGGGACCCAAACTGGCTTACAATATTCACCCTTTCTTAATTTCATCATCGCAACAACCCTGTGAGGTGGGTTAGCTGGAAGTGTGTGATGTGCTCAAGGTCACCAAGCACTCTTCCGTGGTGGAGTGGGGATTTCAGTGTGCATCTCCCAGATTCTAGTGTGATAATCTACACCATCCTGCCTCATGTAGAAATACTTCCCTAGCATAGTGCTTCTAAGGTACCCTAAGCATACATATGTGAGAGTAAGCCTCACCCCAGCGAGGCTTATTTCTGTGCATAGGATTGCATTATAAGCTACAGTGCAGTGATACCCACTCAGTAGTTTGGGAGCCACAGGTGGCTCTCTGACATGCTACCTGTGGCTCCTCCCCAGTGTGGTATTCTTCCCAGGTGCCAGGAAAGTGAGCAAGATCATTGTGTAGTAGATAGGGCCTGTGGCTGGCAGATGGGTCCCACCTTGAAATAGCCACTGCTGGAGAGACTAGAGGATGGGTAAGAGGTGAATCTCCCTGAGGTGTGAGCCTCATTCTAGGGATGGAAATAAAGGGCCTGTCATAAGAGCATAAATAGAGTCTTGCTGGATCAGACCAGTGGTCCATCTAGTCCAGCATCCTGTCTCACACAGTGGCCAACCAGTTCTCTGGACAGCCAACAACAGGGCATAGAGGCCGAGGCCTTCGCCTGATTTTGCCTCCTGGCTCTGGGATTCAGAGGCTTAGGGCCTCTGAATGTGGAGGTTCTCCTCAGTCGCCATGGCTAGTAACCATTGAAAGGCTTATCCTCCATGAATCTATCAAATCCCCTTTTAAAGCTGTTTATTCCTGTGGCCATCATTACATCCTCTGGCATTGAATTCCGCATTTTAATTGCTCTCTGTGTAAAGTAGTATTTCCTTTTGTCTGTCCTGAACCTACTGCCCATCAGTTTCATTGGATGCCTTCGAGTTCTAGTATTTTGGGAGAGGGAGAAAAAAAATACTCTTTGTCAACTCTCTCCATTCCATGCATGATTTTATAAACCTCTTATCACGTCCCTCCTTAGGTGTCTCTTTTCTGAACTGAAAAGTCCCAGACTCTTCATCCTTTCCTCATACGGAATGTGTTCTCCAAAAACCCTGCCTCCCCTGCAGCCTCTGTGCTCTCATCCCAGCACCTGGGCCGCTACCCAAGAAAAGAGCAGGCCGGCCACAGTGGGATGCTGGTGGTTTCACTCACCTTTCTCCACAGCCAGCTGGGCCTTCTCCAGGTGCTGGGCTCCCTCTCTCTGCCCCCATCTGCTGTGCCTCAACTGAGGAGAGAGGGAGAAGGCAGTGTGGGAAGCCCTTCCCCTCACTCCAGATAGACAAGGGCTGGCTAACGTTCAGCTGTGGCAGGGAGAGACAACCCTGCATGCAGAGAGCTATCCTGGCAATTTAAGAAGTTATAGTTACATACTTAATATTACTAGCTGCATCTTATATTTTGGTATGCCTGTGTTTGGGGCGGTGCACAGGCCATACCGTATCATGTGGCCCTTTTGATTGCTGCTAATGGTGAATGTGGCTCTCCATAAGCTAAGGAGTGAGCTCCCTGCTATAGTGAGTTTATGGCAGGACTCATTAGGAAGCATTCAGTAAACCATTCTCTTTGTCTCTGTTTAGAGATCTGGAATATGGGAAGGACCATTCTAGATCTGTCTTACTGGGTGGTTTGTCATGATTACAGATACTGAGTTAATGTACATGAAGCCCTTTCAGTGTTCCTAGGCATTGTATGATTGCTTGGGACGCCAGCCCAAGTCCAGCGCAGGTGGATGAAGGCCCTGATTATTTCTCTGGAAGAACTGGGAAGGGCTGTGACCCAATGACATAGCACAAGTCTTGCATGCAGAAGGTCCCAGGTTCAAACCCTGAAAACTCTGGCTAAACTAAGGATCTTCAGTGGCAAGTGTTAGGGAAAGCAGAGGTCCATCAGTGGCTGTTAGCCACAAGGTATAGATAGGGGCTCTGGGACAAGTGATGCTCTGACTTCTTGGTGCTTGGGGGGGGGGGGTCAACAGTGGGAGGGCTTCTAATGTCCTGGCCCCACTGGTGGACCTCCTGATGGCACCTGGTATTTTTGGCCACTGTGTGACAGAGTGTTGACTGGATGGGCCTTTGGCCTGATCCAACATTGGCGTCTCTTATGTTCTTATGTTTAAAGACTCCTGCCCTGCCTGAGACCACAAACAACAGCTTGCAGTCAGTGTAGATGGAACTAGACGGATGTAGCATAAGATCATGTGACCAGGCACTTGATAGGTTGCCTTGTATGTGTTTATGACAAGGGAGTGTTTATTCATGTCACTCTCTCCACATGTTTTCAAGAAGGAGTAAGAGCCAGGCATGGTGTGCCACTGGGAGTTTTATGAATGGAGCTCCCTTGCAGTTCATTAAAAAAAGAAACACCAGCAAGTATTTAGGGACTTGATTTGCATCAGGATTGCAGAATCATCTTGGTTTTTGTTTGTTTCCTCAAGTAGCTCTGTGGGGCTGTTTCAGACGGTGAAAGGGAGGAAAGACGGTTTGAACTTCCTTCTCTGTGATTCCAGTTGGTCTCTGTCTGTTCCTGTTTGCTGCTTGTATAAAAGGGGGGTGAAGTGGATCTGGGAGCTCCGTTCATGAAATTCCCAGTGTCATGCCTGGTTTGGCTGAAGTTGCTGAAATATTTCCATTTCAAAATGCAGCAAAGGAAGAGGTTAGATAACCAGATAGTTCCAAATTGGGCACTACTCACTTAAAGTGCTGACCCACACTCACCCCTGCTTTAATGATGCATTTTCCTCTTACGGGAGGCAGTGGTTCTAAGAGAACTGAAAGTAGCTTGGGAGCAGGGTTCCCTCTAAGCTGAGTTAGTGTAAGCCAGCTCACAGTTTTTAGCCTCCGGCTCACACATTTTTGTCTCAGCTCAGGAAGGATGGCTCCAGAGCAAACTAATTTATGCAGTAGCCAAATCACCTGCTCACAACTTTAATGCCAGTCGCTCACCAAGTAGAATTTTTGCTCACAGGACTCCATACCTTAGAGGGAACATTGCTTGGGAGAGGTTCTGCTTCCCACACTGGAGACATGTGTCTCATTTATTTCAGGTCTGGCAGGTTTTGTAGGGTTTCTAATCAGTATGAACACCTGCAATACCATTTTTTACCAGGGGTGAAAGTAGGATGAGTTTATGTACTGCAAACAGCCATTCCTTTTTCAAAATAATTGCAACATTGGGTGGGGGACACCATTTGTCTTTTCTCCTGCACGGTTCTGATCCTGTGCCCATATTTCTAGAGTTTGGATTTGTATGTGTGAAATGTATCTGTCTGTCTCTCCTTGTGTGCCTGTTACTGTTTGTCAGATCCACCCATAGAAAGAGTCCAGTCATGCCAGAGAGCATTCAAGAGGATTATATTAATCATTCTGTGGCAGTTTTCTTCCTTTAAGAATAAGGAAACTAGCCCTAGAATTTTGGCAATGTTCCAGTTGCTCTGTATGTAGTCTGGCTGTAGTTCCTCTGCAGTTGATTTTGCAGACATTTGTCCTTCAGCTGTGCTTCCCAGACAGTTTTTATAATGTGGCTTAATTCTGCAGAAGGCCTGCATTTCAGGAAGATATGAGCTAGTGACACTACTTTTGTGGGGCCCAGTCACTGATAATACCTTCTGTGAATTAGGCTACAGGCTCAGTATTGTTGAAACTGTCTTTTCTTCCCCAAGTCACATAATGTCTGTTTTTCCTCACTTAGGGCAGAACTAAAGCATGTTTCTCAATCTGCATTCACCAAGGTAACAACAATGCAGGGATGGTTGGGAGAAGGTATTAACCCACACATAATGATCCTCTTCCCTGTGAATACCATCCACCAAGGTCATTTTGCCCTGAGCTGAGCTTAATTCAAGTCTTGGTGGGGGGGAATCAGGCCAAATAAAAAAAGGTTGGAGGAACAGAGCGTCTGCAGGTGAAAACCTTCACAAGGGGGGAGAGATAGGCATCCACTTTCTCACCTGCCTTTTCTTCATATTAGCTTTTTAGCATGACACTCTGCCTTATGCAAATGTGCTCCGGTCCATAAAATGCTTTGGGATGCGATATATTAGTATTTGCTAGGGAAATGGAAGGATTGATACTTACGCATATGTTGTTTTTCCCTTTTCTTCCTCCTCCTCCTCATTTTGATGGTGGTCTCTCTAAGGCTTGTGGGCATTCCTCTGGTTTGTCAGTTTTTGTTTCCTGGCTGACCAATGGCGAGTTTCAAAACCAGAAGACAATCCGATGAATGAAGGAACAGATGCAGCCCGGGCAGCCATTGCATTCTCTTTTTTCTCCATTTTCACCTGGGTAAGTAGTGCAGCTAAGTAATTGTGGTTCTCTTAATACATCCTGTTACTTCAGATCCCAGGATTATTACATGCAGTGGAACTTCCTTCTTGCAGGTTTCATAATCCAAAAGGTCTTCACGTATATCCAAATAAATCACTGGACAGACTACAGCCAAAACTTACTGGACAGTTTGATGTGCCAAATTTTATGTAACTTTAAATATTTGGTTGTTTGCACAGATCTGTCTTTTGTGTCTGTCTTCCCAAAGGATGCCAAGAAGAGCTAGCACAGTCATGTATGAACTCGAGATCCACCTGGTAGGGCAGAGTGACAGTACGGTTCTCTGTGCCATCTTAGGCCAAAGACAGACATAAACACTTTGGATTTATTCACTTACAGGGCCCAATTGTAATGTCTCTGGGCCATGTTCGGATTTCATAATGTAGGGTCTGTCTGATCCCATCTCCACAATACATGCTCACAAGTCAGATTTTTTAAAAAAATATTCCTCAAATAAATGTTGCAAATTGACCATACCATGTTAATAGGCTTTGGGGTCTGGGCTGGGATTATCAGGGGCATAGTAAAGGATAACCGTTCCTTCTCCCACCCCCTTATCATGCTGGGGCCATGCTACTCTGGGTTTTTTTTTACACAGACTCGGAACTTCCAAACTGGATTGAGTCAATAAACAAGTGGTTCTTTTCTTTTTCAAAAGAATTCAGCTCTGTACAGAGTGGTAATTGGCTGATCCTTGTAGAGCTAGAGGTTTGTGTAGAAAAATGTGGGGCAGGAGAGCAGAGGTCACCCCACAGCAGAAAGAAGCTGGGCTGTATCCATGCATCACTGGATATTGTACTGTCAGTCCACTATGATGATTGTTCGCAACTGGGTTATCATGTGTGTACAAGATGAGTCCAGCGGCATATGACTGCTGTAGTGCAGCGGTAGTACAGTATCCAGTGATGTGTGGCTGCAACCCTAGTCTGGCTCCTTTGCCTTCTCTCTTAGATGAGCAAGGTTAGAATGTGAAGACTGAGAGAACAGAGTGTAGCAAAGCTCCTGTTCTTTTTCTGCTTACCACTGATTTCAGCCACTGCTGCATGGCACCTTGAATACTCTTACGAATCTCCTCTCAGGCTTTCTTGCCCCACCTTTTGCCCTCTGTTTGTTTCAGTAAAGATGAGAAGGGGGGCCTCTAGTTTACATTCAGTATAGGACAAGGTCAGGGCCAGCCCAACCATTTAGGCATACTACTCTGCCAAGTAAGGCTGACATTTTTTCCTACTGCATCACCAGAGGGCTGTTTTTTTAAAGAACAGTCATTGCAACAGCATTATAGTGCTGTAGTGATTACTGGTTGTTGTTTTCTCCTGTGGCATGGCACAGAAAATGCCAGAGGGACTGACTGCAGGAAAATGGCAGCAGTATGGGTGAGACCTTTGAAAATACATACCTTCTTGTCCGGATAGTGTGCTAATATACTTGCTGCATTTTTTTATTAAAAGGTTTGAGAGAGAACATATTGAGGATGAGGAAGACATAGAGGATGATTAGAACACACTTTCAGGTGGATACTTTTATATATGGAGATATATCTGTATCTGTCTATATATATATCCATCCAGTTTGGAAGTAAAGGCAGAGGAATGCTTGTCTGTGAAAGCAGCCCAGTGACCCTTTTTCACACTGGCTGTTTACTGTTGTCTCATACGCTACCATATCATCAAAACTGGGAGGAATTTCAAGGAAATTTGTTACCCTGCAGAGTCAAGGCCCATCTGACCCTCATTTGCCTATGTAGATTTAAATGCAGACTCATTAGAAGTTTCTCATTGACAAATGCAGCAAATAAAAAGTTTTATAAGACAGACAACTTCTGCCCACTAAAAGAAAAATTGACACAGTGTCCAATATTTATCTGTGGCATAGGAGATATTCCGCTGTCTAGCACATATTCTGTACAGGCAGATGGCTTGTTTATTCTTTGGTAACAAAACTTCTGCATTCTGAGCACACTTTCTCTTATTTTACAGTTCTTTCAGTGACCTAGTTCTGCCCAGTTCTTTTAGAGTCCCTTAAATGCAGCTTTTTACCTTGGGCTGATATGGAGGCCTTTTTAGCGGGCGTGCAGTAGCGCCCTGAAGGAAGTATTTGTGGTCATGCGAAGTCTCCTTTGGAAAAGGAGGGGAGTCCTTCGAATGGCACCCCAGCATTCCCTTTCTTCTTTTATTGCTTAGGATGCCTTATTTTAACCAAGGGGGCCTTGCTGAATCCTGTTCCTCATTAATGGCCCTTGTTACATCCTGTTCTCTCCCTACAGAGCACGCTGACATTTCTGGCTTATCGGAGACTTGGAGAGATTACCTTTCAGGAAGAATACAACACTCTGTTCCCTAACTCTCCACCACTGCTGTCCTAATGCTAGTGTCCAGAAAGGTTGGGCATAGCAGAGGAAATTGCTGGAGTGAAAATGTTTCCAGCTCCATGCTGAGGGGCAGGAAGGAAGATGAGAGGCAGAAAATTTTTTATATCGAGTGTTTGTGCAGCTGATGTGGTGAGGAGAATGAGAACACCAAGATGCCTTGGAGTTTGGGAGAGCTTCTACCTGCCCTTTAGTGCTGAATAGCTGAAAGTAAAATGTGTCCTGTTCATGTTCTCCTCTTCCTGCCTCTGTGCCCCTCACCCCGACTAATGCCAAATAGTACCAATGTACCTTTCTCTCAGCCTTAATATTATTTAACTGCCACGGGTTATTGCCAAAATACACTTTCTACTTCTACTCATTCTTGTGTCTTTCTGGTTTGCTATCCCACCAACACAAATTGATAGTGTTGGGAAGGCAGCTGGTGATCTCTGAGCCTTTCTCCATCCTAGTTTTTCCAAAAAGCGTAGCACAAGAACTGTTTCTGATGAGGCTGGGCCTCTTGACCACTGCTTTGATGATTCCTGTGTGTGGAACATGACCATCTTGCCTTAACCCCCCAGTCTGCCGGCATACCTAGCCTCCCAAGAACTATTGATGGTGTGTCTGCATGTGCAGGATGGGCCCCTTGGAAAAAGGAGCTGAAACCTTTTCTCCCAAGCCATTCTGATGCTAGCACAACAAAGCATGTTCTGTGCTGGGCCCACAGTTGTCCTTTGCAGCCACTGGAATGAACATGGGATTGTACAAGGCCGAAGCCTGCAACATGCATTAAGCTAGCCCTGAAAATAAGCACCGTGATCTGTATGTTGAATTGGAATATGCACATAATCTTTCTACTGCCATCCTTTTCTTAATACTGTGAAATATGAGATGGTAAGGGGAAGAGTTGCTTGGGTGCATTCTGGTTTCTTCCCTGACTTGTGCTCTCTGTGGGGTGTGTCAAAACCTTCTTACTGTTTTTGAATGTCTTTGTTTTTCAGCTTGTTAATTCCAACGTCTCATGCACTAATGATGTCTTGTGCACTAACCACTACTAACCCTGCTTTTGTTTGTTTCTTCGTATGTTTTCCCTCTCTTTTCCCCTCCCTTCCATGTCTTTCTCCTTTCTGTTCCCCCCTCCCCTTCCAAAAAAATTCTCCCTGTGCTGCCGCATCCTCCTTTTAAAGGTGGGCCAGTCATTTCTGGCATTCCAGCGATACCTGCTTGGTGCCGATTCGGCCATCTTCTCCCAGGACTACATGGACCCGAGCCAGGAGGCTGGCATGCCTTATGCGCCCTACACAAATGAGGATGACACTACAGCTAGTATGGGGACGTACCAGCAGCCTCCTTCGCTGGATGCTTTTGATGCTGACACACAGGGGTACCAAACACAGAACTACTGAGAGCTGTCGGGGAGCTCCTCTCCCCTCCCCTCCCCTCTGCCCACTCTTCTCTGCCACCAACAAGCCAAGGTGCAAAACAGACACGTGTGTTTTGGAGCAGCAGGTGGCTCTGAGCCACCCTCCAGCCTTCTAGGGTCTTTGTTTTTAATTTCGTAGTTTTTTAAACTGAAAAACCTAATGCCTCACTGCTCCTCTGAATTCTCTACCGAGATTGAATTGTTGAATCCAAAGCGTTTCACTGTCTTTGTTTAAAGAGAGAATCTTCTTTCCCTTTCTATAGAAAGCTGCCGTGGGAAGAGATCTGGCTCTTACTTTCTGTAAGGGGTAAAGAGGGAAGGACCTGAACGCACAACAGCTGGGTTGGAATAGGTGATGGGCCAGAGATGGAGCCAGAGTCTGTGCGTGAGTGCAAACAGCAAAGACAGGGAACGGGACTTGGATGAGCAGACAAAACTGTATGTTCAGGGTGACAGTGAGCACAGGGGCATGCAGTCAGGCAAAGGTGGATGAGGCAGAAGGCAGTGGAGGGTGGACATGGGATGCACAGAGCGAGAGATGTCAAGTAGGCCTGAGATTACCTTTTCACCAAGTTCGGCTTTAGGGCCCACGTCAACTCCCAACTTGACAGTTCCAAACTTAAAAAAAAAAAGACATTGGCCTCTCTCAGATTTGGTTAATTTGTATGGATATTTTTTCCAAGGTTAGCTTTATCGGCATTTTCCCCCCATGGGAAATCTGCCATGGATGGCTTCTGTCATAAGTGTGGACTGCAGTTGGCCACTCTCTCAGCTTGCTCTTTGAAGTGCTCGACAGCATTCTGACTGCGTGGCAGAAGTACTGCATGACCATCTTGCTATGAACAAAATGGCAGGTGGAAGGTAAACCAAGCTGAACAGGGACAGGGAGAAGAGCTATGACAGTTTGCTTTAGTCATGGGGTATTGGTTTATATTTGTGGGGAGTGGGTAAAAACTCCTCCTCCAGCCCTCTTATCACACAGTCTAATGTATTGACCAATTTTTAATTGTCAGTTTACTGAGAAAAAGGTGTTGAGAGTATATATGTGCTTCGGGGGTGTATGAGAGAACTTGTTGGCACTTATCAACATGGGCAGGAACATGTCAATGTCCACCAAGTAAGCTGATTATTTTTACATGGTGAAATCAACATGGATTTCCCCCCCAGTGTGTTTTGGCATGTGGAACTATGGTTTATAAATGCTCCAACATGTGACTTGTTCATTACTGAACACAGTGTTGGGCTAAAATTGCATGGAATCCCAAATCCAAAAGAGAGGCTGTTTTCAGATTTAGATGCCCAGTTAATAAGGCTTCCACCAGGGTTAGATACAGAATCTCTGTTCAGCAGTCAGATGTGATGAACCTTCAGTGTATCAGTGCACTTGCAAGAGTAGTCCAACATGCTGAAATTCCCTGAAAATACTAAAATGTCTTGGCTATGCAAGTCAAGACTCCATGGAACAAAATTATTCTGGCTATACTAAGGCATACCAAAATAATTACTCTTTTTTTAAAAAAGGTGTCCTCAGTTTCTATGGAGTTTAACTTATGTAGTCAAGAAAATAACATGCTGAAAGGGAAACAATAATTAGAATGATTCCCTTAGTAATAAATCATACTCCACAGGTCAGATGATGAGAATTGTTATGCAGTCCTATCCTTTCCAAGATCGGTCAGAGGTAAGACCCATTCAGTTCAACTGAGTTTACTCCTGAGAGAAGGGTGTACATAGGATTGCTGATATAGGAGGTAAGGCTTCAGAGAGATGTTGGGATGAAAAACTGCCTGGAAGATACATTTGCAGAATTAGCCAGGCTCTATTAATAGGACAGTGAATTCGCTTTGTGTAACAAGTAGTGAAACAAAACTCTTTACCATTTGCTACCTTGCCATGTAGAGTTGGTCTCATTGATTGCAGTCCACAGTGTTGTTCATCATAATGAAGAGATAAAAAGTAACTGGGCTGACTTGTAGGAAAAGCTAGCTTTAAAGGAGGAGGTTAAGTCTTGCCATTCAACCCTGTGAGCCCTGTGGCCTTCACCCAGTGGCACAGAGACCTGTGTCCCACTGGGCAAATTCTCTTGCTTTCCTGAAGTTGGGGGGGAAGACTATTTAGTTTGAGTGCAGAACGAACCATGTCACACACCACCGTGGACAAGGACCAGCTGGAATTGCTCAGCTGGAAGAAAGGCAGTTTATAGAATCATAGAGTTGGAAGGGGCCATACAGACCATCTAGTCTAACCCCCTGCCCAATGTTGGCTAAGATCAGCTGCTATGCTTAGTATCCCTCTTATTACTGTATGTTTTCTCTATTTTCCTTATTTGAGACTAATCCTTCAAGGGAATCTTCAGATGGTTAGGAGAATCACAGAGAAAACACATCTCTTACCACCACCACCCCCCAAAAAAACAACCCCTATTGGAGCACATTCCCAAAAATCATATTCTTTGGGATTAATCAGTTTGGAATATCTATTATCTACTCATATTTGCTGTTCCACCAGTGAAGTTAATGTACGTAGAAGGGTGTAACTTCTGAGGATGGCACTCTAAGCAACAGTGATCACTCAGTGAAAAGATGTGTATTGAAAGATCAGGTGGAAAAACACTTCACAGCTTCTCAGCTCTGTGTCTGCTCCCACCCAATGCCACTTGAGCCCCCGGTCTCTTGTTTACCCATGAGAAGGGAAATGTAATCTTGGAAGTGATCCAAAGCAGTAACACAGTGAAGTGCTGCATTACCCTGGGCTTAGTGCCTGATCCTGCGTCTCGGTTGCTAATTTTGCGGCACCTAAAAGTTAGTGGCCTGGCCTCTGTGCCTTTCTGGATCTGTGTACTTTGGGGTCAGTAGCAGAGGCCTTAAGAGTTTCATGCATTCTATACCTCTAGGAAAGTAAATGCCTAAACATGATTTAAGGTCAGATCCATTAATGTTCCACCAGTGCATCACAAAATAAGGTATTAACGGGACAGAATTTGTAGTGTGACTTTAGGCCAGGTGTCGGCAACTTTTTTGAGCCTGTGGGCACCTTTGGAATTCTGCCACGATGTGGTGGGGGGCTGCCACAAAATAGCTGTTGCAGAAGGCAGAGGCAGTGACAAAAAGGATGCTGCAGCTTACCCTCCGTCACACAGTGAAGATCCTTGTGCTGTGGTGGCCCTTATTGCCAAAGCAACATTTTTTAAAAAAAAATCTGTTTAGCCAATCAGAAGTCTTGCTGGTTAGAAAGCCCCAGCTGCTTTCTAAAAACACTTGCTGGATGCCAAGAAGGATGTCTGCAGGCATTATGGCACCTCTGGGCACCACACTGGGGGGGACCCCAGCCTCAGGCAAATGCTTAGCATTTTGCAATGATGATGTAACTAAGATCAGACAAGTATGCTTCCAAAGTGCTTGTCCCATCAATCTTTGTCAAGAGCCGTTCCACTGATGTCTCTAAGGAGGCTTTGCTACTTTGGGCAGATACTGTGATTTTTTAAACAGCATTGCCTGTTCCTACTTGCCCTATCCCAAGGGTAAGCCAGAGTGAAAACTCTTAGTACCCTTTTAATGCCTTGGTTTGTGATGTGCCGGTGTGGGAGATGACACATAGTGCAATAGCAGATACACTCCGAAGAAGTTAATACCTTTGCTTGAGGGGAAGTTTTAAGACTGGATACTAAAAAGAAAGTAACTTCCTGAAGATATAGAACATATAAAATGGTTAAGAGAATACGCTTGAAGTACATTTTGCTTATATCCCCAAAAGCATCTGCAGTTTAATGCCATGCTAACCATTCAGGGGCAAGAGATTAGAAGAGGAACCCAACATGAAGTCCAGGGGAAAGAAGTGAAACACAACCCTAAGACTTCGGGCCTCTGACAACATGACCTTTTCCCTATATAGAAGTCAAAATGGCCAGCTGTGTGTCTTCATAACCAGGAACTTCAGTCTCACAAAGCTACTACAATTTTTCTTTAGTTTACTACTTCTGTCTAGAGTTGCTAGCTCGCTTGGAGGGGAAAAAGTCTCTTGTCCCTTTAAGCAGATTCAGGGGGATGTTATTTATCCCCATGCCCTGACAAGCTTCAGTTGCAATGTCTACACTTTAAGCCTATACTAAAGGGACAGGAATTTTCGGCCAGACCACCTTACATGTGACTGACTGTTCCAGTGTTACAAAAAGGGTTTGCTGTGGCCAATTTGTAGCCATTTCCCCCTTTTTTAAAAATAAGATTCTTAGAAGCAGTCAGTCTTTCCGTCGGTGCTGTGCCTCTGTGCTGGTATGGATGCCACTACAGCCTAGGGGCTTCCATAGGGCAGGTTTCCCCGCAGCTTTGTTGCCCCAATCCCCCAGCAGTGGCTGTCTACCCCTTCCCCAGGCCACTGGAGATTTTTCTTTTTTAAAAATTGGCTATTAAATGTCTATACGGACAGTGTCGGGAAATGACTGGCGTGGGCTGGAAAATCTGAACTCCCTAGCCATCCAGATTTTTCTGCTGTTTCTCCCTAACTTTTGTAGCAAAGGACATTTGAGAACGATTGGAGAAAAGGTGGGGAGACCCTGTGAAGTGCATGAACGCATCATGTTGCTGCGGGGAAGCAAAAAAACCCCTCCCCGCTTCCCAACAACATTGAACCTGGGGCAAATAACCCTTGTGAAAATGACCTTTCCTCCACTAGTAACAGGTAGGAAGAGGGAAATATAAAAAGGCACAGCTGCATCAGAGTGAACAACAGACTGCTTAGAATGATTACATATTCTTAAGTGTGTTTTGTTTGTTTTCCCAACAGCCTTTGACTTTGAGGCCATGGAATTTCAGTCCAGGGGTGGAATGGGGAAGAGCCATTATAATGACTGTCGGGGCTACCCCAGTTGGGTGGTTTGCACGGTGGTTTATGTGAGTCTCCTCTAGACCCTTCCCACTGGGGGCTCCTTGCTGGAGACTTGTGTTACTTGGTGAGTAGCTAGAAGCTAGCGGGGAGGGAGAGCAGGGAAAGCACATTCTGTTGCACGTAAAAAGAAACTAAGTCCTCATCTATGTGGTCCTGATTGAAAGCAATATTGTGTAGAGCTTGAGGGAGGAGGAAGGGTTCTCCACCCCCAAAGTATCTATCTCTTGTAATGGGATGGCCTAATATTTAGGCTTGTGGGTGGGTATTTTGCTGAGTGTTTTTTTTTAATGACTGAGGTCAGGGAGTGGTCCTTCATATTAGTCTCTCCTCCTGGAGGGAAAGAGAGAATCATGGGCCTGGAGGGTAGGGAGGGTGGAAAATCCAGTGTTGTTGCAAAGTTTCATTGGTGTTGACTGCATGCTTTCATGTGTTGTGGTGGAACAGGAGATGTTCTACTCCTCAACATTTGTTCTCCTAGCACAGATTTTATTGGGGAAGGGGAGGTAGGCCAAGACTTTCAAACGATGCATGCAAACTGATTATTCCTCCCCCCTCCTTTAAAAGCACCCCGTTTACTGTCACATATGGATGGATTCCTAACTCCAAACAGGAATATTTTCCCTAGTTACATGCCGTGCCACTCACAAGACCCATCACTTGTCCATAGTCAAACTTGGAAAAGTTCATTGACCAGAATCCCAACAGCTAGGTGTATTTATCACAGTTTATGCAAACAGACTTTGTTGGGTTATTGCCATTACCTCCATTATGTGGGGAAAATTTTTACACATAGAAACATCCTGGTCATATCCTGGTTGATAATCCCTGTCTGCCTTCTTGCTCCACAGCGAGAATTCCATAAAAATTCCATACTCATGTTTTCTTTTTGTTCCATTATTTGTAGTGGAAAGAATTGTTTGGGGTGCATTCACACTAGAGGTTTTGGGGGTTTTTAATTGCACAGTAGCGGGGGAGTGTATCCCTCTGGCCAGAAAATGGACATGATAACAGGAGACATTATTCATCTTGGTAAAATGGCACCCTTTAGTGAGCCCATCATTAAGTAAGGCAAAGGAGATGTTCTGGCTACCCAGAAGCTGAAGTGAGGTAGTTGCTTTTTAATAATTTTGCTGGAAGCAGCTTTGCAGCTGTGAAGCTACACAGGGATATGGCATCAAAACAACGTTCAAATTCCCCTCTCCGCCATGGAAACTTGCTGGGTGACCTTGGGCCAGTCACATTCTCAACCTAAACTACCTCACAGAGTTGTTGTGAGGATAAAATGGAGAACAGGAAAATGATGTAAACTGTTTTGGGTCCCCATGATAAATATGGTGCCTGAAACACTTCCAGCATCTCCCTTAGAAAATCTTTCAAGCATCAAGGACAAATGTGTGGCTTTCAGGTGTAGTAGACATGCACCAAGCAGGTGCAGCTCAGTATTGGTCCCATGTCCATGTC